CTGCCACCAAGCCCAGCTAATTTTTGTATTTTTAGTAGAGACAGGGTTTCAACACATTAGCCAGGCTGGTTTTAAACTCCTGACCTCGTGATCTGCCCACCTTGGCCTTCCAAAGTGCTGGGATTACAGGTGTGAGCCACCGTGCCCGGCCTTATTTGATCTCTTTAAAGCTTTGATCCAAGATGCATGGTTGTAAATTGCTTACCTTGTCCATTTCCACTATTGTCAACATTAGCCAGACACAAACAGCCTTGATCAAATTCTTCTTTATCTCCCAGAATAGTAGACCACCAATCACGGGCTTTAAATAAAGACATTTTCTTTCACACTAAAAAGAAAACATTTATAATAATCGAATTCACACTATGAATTAATAATTATGTCTTAAGGCATAGCAAATTAAACTTGGACAGATCTGAGAAGACATTTCTATATTAACTTTTTAATATTTTGTACACATAAATGAAACCACAAATCCAAATGGCTGGAAGCATTAATCAGATATTTTGCAACACCATTAGTAAATTGGGCTGAGAATTATACATTTATGTTGTGCTAATTCTCTTTTCCGAAACATTTAGGAGAGAATTGCAGAAAATAACCAAAGAACATATTCTTTGGCGGATCAAGATTCAAATTCCATCAGCACTATTTAACACATAAGTCTTCAGTGAAATACCTAACTTCCTTTCAGTCTAGTCATTGGCGAGACTGCACTACAGCTGGCCCTCCGTACCTGTGAGAGATTGGTTCCAAGACCCCACAGATGAAAAATCCCCAGTTGCTCAAGTCCCTTATTATATATAATGACCTGGTATAGCCAGCCTTCCATATCCATAGGTTTCAGTCTGCAGTTGGTTGAATCCATGGATGTGAAACCCGGGGATATGGAGGGCCAACTGCATCTCCTATTACAAAGAGTTGCTGAGACAAATGAGATCAAACCCAACAGTGACTAGCCCTGGAAATGGTATGTTACAGGTACTTAAAAAGCATTCACTTCCTCTTGCTATGCTAGTTACAGAAAGGCAAAACAGAAGAGGGAAATTCACACCAAAAATGAAGCAGGAAAATTGGGCTGCAGGACCATTTATACCAGTAACTATCTGTGTGTCCTTGGGCAACCCACATAACCTCTCCTTACTTTGATTTCTTATCTAGAATGACTATAGACCAGCCCTACCTACCACTGAGTTGCTGATATGGCAGATGTGAAAGCACTTGGACCTTTTGAATTACAACACAGATTCACATGCCCTGGGACTCTACAACAGTTCATTTATTTAACATAAATGAGGCTTTCCTTCATGTTACACTGATTTAAATGGTAGTTAGGAAATGCAGTCAATTCTCCTTATTCACAAAAGTTATGTTCTATAAGGCCGCCGTAAACAATGAATTAGCAGATACTGAGCCATTGCTCCTAGGAGAAACACAGGGTTAGATAGATTCCTGCAAGCTTCTAGTAACAACAGTTTCTTCAACCAATCAATACATAATGTAGTTTTTTTTGTGCTTATATTTAAAGATACCTTATTTAATATGTATTGATGATTCATTACTACGGGAATCATGGCCATCAGCACTAGAACTCAGTCTGAACTAAGCTTATCCAATTGCACGTACAGATGCTTTTCAATTTATAATGGAATTACATCTCAATAGAACCATCATAAATTGAAAATATTTTAAGTCAAAAATGCATTTAATATACCAGGGAAAAGATCAAAAATCAAAATTTGAAGTATGGTTTCTATTGAATGTGTATCACTCCCACAACATCCTAAAGTCGAAAAATCATAAGTCAAACCATTGTAAGTCAGGGACCATCTGTCTGTTCTCCACAAGATACATCACAGCCTTTTTGCATTTAGGAACATTAGACAGCACTTCAGTATTACATTTGCAGGCCATTTTAAACAGTGAAAACACCACACCCGCCTCCAAAAACAACTTACCAAAATGTGGGGGAAAACATGACACTAAATACTATAGACCATGAAAGGACACTTGCTTATAGTATGAGAATTGAAACAAGAAAGCAGTTGTTTAACATCAGCTGGGAACATGTGCATCAGGTGACTCAATTTTTACTCCTTTGCACTTGACCACAAATGACCACAAAAGTATTGCAAGCACTGATTTGGGGGTTACAAATAAATTTTAGCAAGTAGGCAAATTCACGAATGATACAAAGTCTGCCAATAATGAGGATCAGCTCTACTTTTTTAAAATGTAGACCAACCTACCTCTTAAAGTAAGCCTTTCACATGGGCTAATCATTGAAACCAAGGTCATTTGTTTTTATACAAAGTTGGCCAAGAAATTGGCTGTAAATAATGTGGTGGGAAAGTACAGACTCTGGAGGCAACCTGTGTGAGTTTGAATTCCTGCTCCATCACATACTAACCATGCAACCAGTGGAAGGTTACTAAAAGTTAATGAACGTCTCTGTACTTCGGCTTTCTCATTTACAAAACAAAGGTAAGAGTGGTGTCGTGATGATTAAATAAGAATGTAGTTTCCTACAGAACTGGAAAAAATATGTGCAGGTCATATATATGATAAGGAATTAATATCCAGGATACGTAAAGAACTCCTACAACTCAACAACAACAAAAACAAACCAGGCCATTAAAACATAGGCAAAAGAACCCGAACAGACACTTCTCCAAAGAAGATACACAAATGAGCTGGGCGTGGTAGCTCACACTTGTAATCCCAGCACTTTGGGAGGCAGAGACAGGAGGATCACTTGGGGTCAGAAGTTCTCGAGACCAGCCTGGCCAACATGGTGAAACCTCATCTCTACTAAAATACAAAAATTAGCCAGGCGTGGTGGTGGGCACCTGTAATCCCAGCTACTCAGGAGGCTGAGGCAAAAGAATTGTTTGAACCCAGGAGGCAGAGGTTGCAGTGATCCAAGGTCATGCCACTGTACTCCAGCCTGGGTTACAGAGTAAGACTCTATCTCAAACAACAACAAAAAAGATATACAAATGGCCAGGAAGAATATGGAAAGATGCTCAAAATCACTAATCATCAGGGATATGCAAATCAAAACAACATCACCTCACATCCATTATCAAAAAAAATAAAAATATATTCAACCTAAGAATGATGACTGCAAGAAGGAAAAAACACAAAATAACAAGTGTTGGCAAGGATGTGGAGAAATTGGAATCTCTGTACACTGTTGGTGGGAATATAAAATGGTGCAGCTACTATGGAAAACAGTGGGTAGGTCCCACAAAAAATGAAACGTAGGGTCGGGCGCAGTAGCTCACGCCTTTAATCCCAGCACTTCGGGAGGCCAAGCCAGGTGGATCACGAGGTCAGGAGATCGAGACTATCCTGGCTAACACAGTGATGCCCTGTCTCTACTAAAAATACAAAAAATTAGCCAGTTGTGGTGGCAGGCACCTGTAGTCCCAGCTACTTGGGAGACTGAGGCAGGAGAATGGCATGAACCTGGGAGGCAGAATTTGCAGTGAGCCGAGATCGCACCACTGTACTCCAGCCTGGGCGACAGAGTGAGATTCCGTCTCAAAAACAAAAAAAAAAATTAAACATAGAAGTTTTGATCCAGCCATCCCACTTCTTGGTGGATATCCAAAAGAACTAAAAACAGCATCTCAGAGAGATATTTTTACACACAGATTTACTGTATCATAATTCATAATAACCAAGAGGTAGAAGCAATCTAAACATCCATCAATGGATAAATGGATAAAGAAAATGTGGTATACCCATACAATGGAATATTATGCAGCCTTAAAAAGGAAGGAAATTCTGACATATGCTATGTAGATGAACCTTGAGGACATTATGTTAAGTAAAATAAGCCAGTCACAAAAAGACAAACACCATATGATTCCACTTATGTGAGGTACCTAGAATAGTCACAGAAACATTAAGAATGGTGACTGTCAGGGGCTAGGAAGAAAGGAGAACTGTTAATAGGTATATAGTTTTGACTTTGCAAGATGAGAAGTTCTGGAGATTGGTTGTACAACAATGTCAATTTACTTACCATTACTGAACTATATAGTTAAAAATGGTTAGATGTTCAATTTTATGTTACACGTATTTTACCACAATTAAAAATAAAAAATATACAGTTTTAGTTTTTTACAAAAAGGAATACAGTAGACCACTTAGTACAATACCTGGAACATAATAAGCATTCAATAAGTGTTAGCTGTTGCTCTGGTTTTGATCCCTTTTTATGATTTTTTAAACTTACATTAAAGAAAAAAATTCAATGTCCTGGTTAAACACACTATGGTACATCCACACCATACCAATATAACTTAAGAATTTAAAACATAACTGACACATGCAACTTGGATAGATTTCAAGAGCATTATGCTGAATGAAAAAAAAAATCCAAAAAGGTAAAATATTAAATAATTACATTTCTAATTCTCAAAATGACAAAATCATAGTAATGTAGAACAGCCATGTGGTTGCTAGGCTTACAGGAGGGTGTAACTATAAGGAGCTAATAATAAAAGGCACTTTCTTTGGGATTAATTTCTTAGAAATATCTACAAAAAAAAAGTGCACCCAATTTGATTTGGTAAAATCCAAATCAAATCTATAGTTTAACTTTAGTATTATATTAATGTCAATTTAATGGTGGGCTGGGCCCGGTGGCTAACATCTATAATTAGCCTAAGCAACATAGGGAGACCCTATCTCTACAAAAAATAAAAACATTAGATGGGCTTTGTGGTCCATGCCTATAGTCCCAACTACTCTCAGGAGTCTGAGGAGAGGATCAACTGAGCCCAGGAGTTTGAAGTTGCAGTGAGCTTTTTTGGGGGGTGGGAAACAGAGTCTTGCTCTGACATCTAGGCTGGAGTGTAGTGGCACAATCCCACTCACTGCAACCTCTGCCTCCCAAGTTCAGGCGATTCTCCTGCCTCAGCTTCCCAAGTAGCTGGGATTACAGACACCTGCCAACACGCTCAGCAAATTTTTGTATTTTAGTAGAGATGGGGTTTCCCCATGTTGACCAGGATGGTCTCCAACTCCTGATCTCAAGCCATCCACCCACCTCAGCCTCCCAAAGTGCTGGAATCATAGGTGTGAGCCATCGCGCCAGCCTGCAGTGAGCTTTGATCAAGGCACAGCACTCCAGCCTACAAAACAGAGATCCAGTCTCTACGACAAAAACAAGTTTGATGGTTTTGATCATTGTACTGTTTTCATTGGGAAACCATTATTTTTACAACTTCTAAGTGAGTCTGAAATTCTTTCAAAATGACTAGTTTAAAAAAAGAAATACCAGGAGAAAAAAGAACGAAAACTCCATCCAAAGTC